TCTTAATAACTTGCTATGAGATTCTGAGTTTAAAAATTATCTGACCCACCTAAAATTTCCTCACGGCTGTAAAAGGGGGATAGATAATCTTACCTACCATAATGAATTGTAGAGAAGACTAAATATAACAATGCATACATACAGGCACATAGTAGGAGCTGAATAAATGGTAGTTTTTACTACCTGGTTAAAGTTCTCCTGTACTGGTCTCTCAGAGTCCCTATTCAGACCCTTCCTAATCCAAGACTAGCATATTTACTTCCAATATTGGCTGTTCCAAAGGTTCTGTACTGGAATTAGGGTGCTGAATACTGGACTGAAGGTTCTTTATTAGCATTAATGAGGTAGTACTATGTCACATGAAAGATGTACATTTTAAAACAGTTTTTCTTTAACCTTATAATTCTCTTTGGTTATCACCTCAACCCATGGTAGTCGAGTCTAATCTTCATAAATGTAGGTAACAATAGAATGCAGAAAAAAAAAGGGTACAGAGCACTAAGGAGAAGAATAGCAAACTCTCTTCATGTCTTTACTTGTGCCTTGGGAAAATGAACCACATCCTACCCAGAAAACTGTTCCCAGGAGCCTTTTGCAATCAGTCATGCAGTGAGCAGTTTCCAAAGAGGCAGCTCTGCAGGTGTGCAAACACCTAGTAGAGCAGAATGTGTATTCCCATCCTCCCCAAATACATACCAGAAGAGGGTAATTATGGGCAGGTGGGAGAGAAAAGGCAAAAAGTTGGTTTATAAACCCCTTTAACGTACTTCTCTTCCTTAAAGTTGGTACGGCGAGTAGTTGATAAGAAAATGTAGGCAGCAAATGTACACTTTTTTATCAAGTATTCTTCCCTTAACAACAGTCAATCTCACTTCTTTATTACTCTATCCTATTGAAACTTATATTGAAAGTTATTGATCAACTTCTATTGGAAATGCAGGCTTACTTGCATTCTCAAAATTGCCAGTCTCTCCACCCTCCTTAAGTCTCTCCTTCTATGGATAATAAAATAAACATTCTCCTGATTCTCTTCTGTATCTCTTTTACTGTCTCTTCTGTTTCTTTATGTGATATTTCTTCTCCATAATCTCTCCCTTCATTTAGGCCACTCTTATGATTTCTATGACTAAATATATATAATCTGAGAATCTTTCTCCCTTACTCCTTTCATGATTGCAAACTCAATAACCATTTCCAATTACTTAAACATCCTGCCTTACCACATATACAAAACAACTATATATCATATCTCCTACTTACTCCCCACTTCCAACAAAGAATGGATCCCTCTCCAGGTTTCACATCTATATTAATGACATCATTATTCTCCTAATCATATTTGAAGGAAACTAGCATCTTCTTTTTTTCTAATATGCAAAATATATTTAGTTCCTTAACTCTATAAATTCTATTACCTTAATTTCTGTTCCATCCTCCTATTGCCACTACTATAATTAAAATTTTTATCATTTTCCATACAGACTACTCCAAAGACCCACTTAATTAATATCTTTTCCTATAGCCTTTTTGCTGCTAAATTAATCTTTCTAAAGCACATCCCTGATCATGTTTCTTGTTGAAAAACATTCAGTAACTTCTCACTGCAGAACAGATTCAACCCAATCTTCTTAGTCAGGAAGGCACACCAGGTTTCAGCCCTCATTTCCCTTTCCCATTTGTCTCCTATTCTCTCATATATACACTATATGCATTTATACCCCTGTTTGAGTCAAGTGAACTTTTCTTTGTTCCCATATTCACTACATTTTACCACTTTATACCTTGGAATTTATAAAAGTCTGTCTATCTTAAATATCTAGACTTAGTCTTCTCACCAATTTTCTCCCCATTCTTAAAAGCTGAAGCCAAATACCATTTTCTCTCTGAGGATCCTTCATTTTTTCCCCAATGAATGTTATTTCACTTCCCTCCCTAAAATCTTCTAGCACTTTGTAGTACTTCTGCATCCTTGTCTGTGTGTTCATATGTACTCTCATTTGAAACTACTTCACCTTCTGAACTCTGAAATATGCCTTTCTATTCCTCTCCAACTCCACTGAGCCTGTTTTGGGCTTTGATCTTTCAATAAGCAATAACCGATGATAAACCAGGCATGGTGGTGCATGCCTGTAATCCCAGCAGCTCGGGAAGCTGAAGCTCAAAGGATCTCCAGTTCAAAGCCAGCCTCAGCAAAAGTGAGGCTCTAAGCAATTCAGTGAGACCCTGTCTCTAAATAAAATACAAAATAGAGCTGGGGATGGGACTCAGTGATTGTGTGTCCTTGGTACCAAATAAATAAATAACCTAGGATATACAAACTATTCTCCCAGTCTGTTATTATCTTACATTAACACTTGGTTCCCTTCCCATCTTAAATCCCAATGACAGCATTTTTAAAAAGATATTTCCATCTGGATAATTCACAGGCACATCAAACTGAACATGGCCAAAACTAAGTATCTTCTCCCATAAACTTACTTCTCTAATACTCTGAATTAAATTTCTTGATTCTTTTTTTTTTTTTTTTTTTTTTTGGTACTGGGGATTGAACCCAGAGGCACTTAACCACTGAGCCACATCACCAGCCCTTTTTTAAAATTTTATTTGGAGACAGGGCCTTGCTGAGTTACTTAAGGCCTTGCTAAATTGCTGAGGCTAGCTTTGAACTCATAATCCTCCTGTCTCAACCTCCCAAGCTGCTGGGATTACAGACATGCACCACCGCATCTGGCCTAAATATCTTGATTCTTCACTCACTGTACACATTTAATTATTCACCAAGATATACTGACTCCATCCCTACAGCTATGTATGTTTCATCCCTAAATTTTCGCTAGTAAAAATGTAAGCACTATTTACATTTTTACTAGCGAAAGAGGTGCCTTCTGCCTCCTCTTGTTCTTCCTTCCAATTCTTCTGTTATAGTAGTTAAATAATGTTCCCTAAAAGCATTGATCTGAAAGTGCCATAGAGTCCTACCTAAAAATCTTCCAGTCTTCCAGACTGCCAGAACACTGGCTTAGTTTATATAAGACAATATTCAAACTACTGAGTGGAGCAGTCAGCCCTATTACCTGCTGCTTCTCCACACAGATACTAAGTTAGAGGCCCTGAAATACATTTTGTTTTCATGATTTCATAAGAACACTATTCTGTAGCTGTTTATACAGTTGTCACCCAAGTCCAGTTCACCTAGACTTCATCCCCACCTCCCAAAGTTTCCTCCACCATATTTCTACATTACTTTGTTCATGTGGCTGCATAACTGGATTTCCTCCTCCAATTTGTAGACTTTTTGTGAGACACAAGCTTGTTTTATATTTATCTTTATATATACAATATCTAGCATAATAAAAAGTTTTCAATAAATGTTTTTAAATTAGTGAATCTAATTTGAGAATACTTAAAATTAATATACTCTGAGTGTTTTGTCAAACAATTTCAAGTAGAAATTTGTAGGAGTTCAGGTTAGGTACTAAATATCTAGGGAAAATGAAATGAAGTGACTCTCAGACAAGTGTACCAGTTCCAGAGCCATGTCAGAATAATAGGACTATGGCGAAATAAAATCAAGACAGCAGGGAACAGAGTGTGAGGGGCAAGAAGGAGTAAGGGAAAAAAAAATCCTTAACTGCATCTACAGAAAGGAAAGTATCTAGGGTCACAGACCCCAAACTCAAGCCTTTCTCATGACTACTCACTACCGTCACCATCACTGTGCTTTCACTATCCCCATCTTCAATTACACTGACTGATAGTGTCTGGTACCTAGTAGGTAAGCTAACTAAAAACTGTTCTACATATATCAATTGATACTCATGAGACAATCCTACCAGATTGGTGTTAACCATGTTTTAGACCCAATGAAACACCTAAAAAATTGATGATAGGTTTCCTAGCTAATATGTTAAAAGACAGCCAGAATGTCTACAAAGGTCAGATTTTAAAATCCATTCTTTCTGCTCTATTATTCATGTGCCAGTGGTATACATAAACTGGGGACTGGATTTACTGCTTTGTATTATTTAGTTATATCTGATACTTTTTATTTCTTCCTTTGTGTCTCTTAATAAACCTTCTATATAATAATCATTTTGTACTTGGTTAATTTATTATATCTATGTATTAGCAGAAACAAAATTGAGGCATACCAATTTTCAGTTAGTAGGAAGCCAAAAACAAAAATTGATGACCCGGCCCCTTTGACAATTTATACTCTTGGGTAAGACTTTAATTGCTAGAAGGAGTCATATAATCCATCATACGTTCAAGCAAGTGAACAATGTATTTTTAATGTGGAAATATTTTAATTAATGGCAAAACCTTTTTATTTATATTACAGAAAGATATAAAAAGATTGTGTTTTAAATTCCAGGTCAGCACATAAAATGAAATCAATTAGAGACAAAATAGTCCTTAAAATTATTGAAATCCTTCAAAATCCCTTAAATTGCTTTTAAAGCATCATGTAATATAGTATCAGCCCTCAAAAAATTCATCTCAGAATACCTTTTCCTTCTGCACAGAACAGATCACGGTTTTTTCTGCTGCAAACCATGTGAAGCATTTGGCTGATATTCAGGGGCATACCGAATGAAAAAGCTGACATTAACATACTGGAGTCATATTCAACACTGTGAGATATGTAGATACTATAAGCTTCTGTAACAGTATATGAGAACTGATTCCACCCACGAGAACATCACATTCATTTCTTCTATATCATGCATGTTAGGTATATATGTTCATTGTGAAATGAGAGCTACAATCTAAATATTACTTATATTATTCGGTGTTTTACTTTTTGGTGTTTCAGTACTAGTTTTGATTTATAGCTTGAGCCCAATGATTTGAATAAATTATATTCTCACAAAGGTGACTCTGATGTCCTCTTCTTGTTTACTGTACAACCACTTATGCTTACAATTTTCGATGTAAAAAAGAATCTAAGATAATAGTGTGTCATTTAAAAAAAAAAACAACAAAATAAACTGTCTTACCTTCGTCTATTGATGCTTCACTACTATATCCATCATACTCTGCAGATAAAGGACTATATTTTTGTCTTGTTTCCCAAGCGTAGTTCTTTTGTCTAGAATCTACCAACTGTAGTCTAGAATTATGTGTTCTGGATAAGGCCTCATGATATTTACCCAGTGCTTCATCTTCACTTTCAGAGGATGAACCATGCTCATCTTTGTCCATGTAGGAATTATCTATTTGGAATGACAGGAAGAGGAAATGATCATTTTAATGCAATATAACATTACAAATTTGCTAGTTTTACATCCATATGTGTGTGACACACATATACATGTCAGCATATAGATGAAATCAATTAAGAGATAATCCTTGAAATTATTGAAATCCTTGAAAATCTCTTAAACTGCCCTTTAAAGCATAGTGTTTTATAGGTGCATACACAAACATACATGTACACACCCCGAATCCCTGAATTTTCAGCTTTAGAGAAATATAATTTTTCATGTAAGACATCTAAGCTTTAGATTTTTATGTTTTAATGGAAAAAAATCAATTTGAGTATTCTAATTCTTTAAATAATCTTAGTTCCAGGAATTTTTCAATCTTGAGACATATAAAGGAAATTATAGTGTTTGCCATTTTACAAACCTTTTAAAAGGATCAGGTAACAAACAAATGAAGTTATGGTTGCTGTCAGTATATATAGATCTGATTCAAATAGTTAATAAGATACATTTTTTATTTTCATTTTGGACAATAATTTCAAAACTGGCAATGCTCAGTACTATCAGTGAAACAGAAATGGGCAGACATAATTATTGGTGGAATTATAACTGGTACAATTTTTTTTTTTTGGTACTGGGGATTGAACTCAGAAGCACTCAACCACTGAGCCATATTCCCAGCCCTTTTTTGTATTTTATTTAGAGACAGGGTCTCACTGAGTTGCTTAGCACCTTGATGTTGGGGAGGCTGGCTTTGAATTAGAGATCCTTCTGCCTCAGACTCCCAAGCCTCTGGGATTCTAGAGAACAAGTTGGCAAAACATATCTAATTCTTAAATCTGCCAAGTGTCTTTGATTCATTTCTAGGAATTTGCCAAGTCCATTTCTGAGAATTCAGCCAAATAAAACTGATAGGTGAACAAAGATATAATATGAGACAAGTCACAACATTATGTTTAATAGCAGAAGAAAAACAAAATAATATATAACCAAAATGTCCATCACTGGGCCTTGGTTAATAAATTATAATGTGTTTATACAATGATATATTTACTATACAGTCTTAGAAGTAAAGTGGTAAATTTATAAGTACTCACAGACAATAATTAGAACATCATGTTAAGAGAAAAGAGGTACAAGGTATGGTTATATTCCTATCATATCACATACACACACACACACACAGATGCACATACATTCTATATATTCCTTCATGCAATACATGTACACAGACATTCAATCTATGTCTGGAAAGATATATACTAAACTGCTAACATTTATTATCTGTGAAAAGTGGTATTACTAGAAAATTTTTTACTTAAATATACCTAAATTTCAAACAAAATTTTCAAGAGATATAAATTTTATATTATTTTTAAAATCACTAGCAGCAGTTAGAATAGTTCATGATTTCATAAAACGTATTACTCATTGTGTAGACAATAGTCTCATGTGACTATTTAAATTTAAATTAATTAAAATTAAACAAATTTTTAAATCCCAGTTTCTATACTATCAGCCACATTTCAAGGGCTCATAGCCACATATAGCTAATGGGTAATATAATGAATAATAATAATAAAGTTCTGCCAACATGCAGAACTTTACCACTGAAAGTCCTACTGAACAGTGCCAAGAAGATGGCAGAGCTGGTCTAGAACCACAGCCTTCTGACTCCCTGTTCACAGTTGTGGGCACTTTGAAGATACTACAGTGGTGGGTTTAAGGCAGCAGGAGGACTGAAGCCCTGTGAAGGCACTTACTCTGTAATCAAACTTCATCTATTATAAAATGCTACTTGAAGTAGCCTTATATTCAGAAGTAAAAAAGGAAACTCTTCCTCTTTATTCTGTATCTTATAACTCCTATGCCAAGACCTAAAACACAGGTATTAGTAATATTATAGTGTGGCTAAAGATAGGATTAATCTGTGGGTCAAAATACTCTCAAAATGATTTTTGGAATACAACATGTTTAAGTTTAGTACTAACTATACTCAGGAAGACTCGAGGGATATTTGGTTTCTTTAGGTAACAACATGCTTTCTAATGAAAACAAAGCAAAACAAAATTAAAAACCTTGTTTTTCTATGTGTAATGGATTCATTACTGATGTTTATCATATTGTTATTTTCTGAATAAAATATTATGTAAAATATTTTACTTTGTTTATTTTATTTATTTTTGCTACTTTGAATAATAAGGCTACTAAACCAGAATTGCCAAAAACTACTGAATCTCACATTCAAAAACTACTATAAGAATAGACCATTATTTTATAAGAAAGTGAATTTACAGAAAATTCCAGATGCATATTTCATAAAAATCAGCGTATTTTTAGTCTTGTGATAAGACCAGCAATAAATGAAAATGACTAAGGATTATCAGAAGCATATTGCAGTTAGTACAGTATAAACTGCAATGACGTTTTGAAAATTTCACAAATACTATGGTGGAAAACTATAAATGTTTACAAAGAATTTTAATTCAATATAAAGAACTTATGAATAATAATTTATTGTTCATGTATACTCATTCTGAACTAAGTAGTCATAAAATTTTTAAAGTATGGCTAAATGAATAAATACATATCCTGAAGCATGTTATTCAATAAAATAAGATCTGCTCTCAAGGAAAAATAGAAAATATTTTATTTAGATTCTTACTAGGGCAGATTTGAAGAACAATGCTGTATAAAGGACTTATGAGTTAAACACTTAAAATTTTAAAATACAAGTAGAGGATACCAAATAAACTGACTAAAGTATACACTTTCCTGAAGAAAACCATGGAGTTTCTGGTTGTAAAACAAATGGCCATTAAGAAAAGTTAGGGGGCAGGGGATACAGTTCACATACAAGGGCCTGGGTTTAATCCCTAGAAAAAAAGAAAATAAGGAAAAAATAGCTGGGTGCTTACAATCTCAGCAATTCAGGAGGCTGAGACAAGAGGAACCAAGATCAAGACTAGCCTAGGCAACTTAGGGAGAAACTGTCTCAAAATAAAAAATAAAAAGCACTGGGGATGTGTCTAAGTGATGGGAGTGCCACTGGGTTCAATGTCAGTATCAAGGGGAGAAAATATGGCCAAATGATGTAGGAATCAGCAGCCATACTTTGTGGTATACCAATAACACAAAGGCTCCTGAAATGATTATTTTTTAAAAAGACTTTTAAATATTTCCCAGTAAGAAGATTCAAGAAATTTTTTAATTAGATACACAGGTACAGACAGGAAAGTTAAGAAATTTGGATATTGTTTTCCTAATCAAAAACAAAAACTCAGGAGGAAATTTAATCACTGAAACCAACATTAGGAGACCTCACCTTTTTCTGGTACTATCTTAGAATATTTTTCAACTTTACTCTTTGCTGTTCCTTTCTTGGAAGAATTGGCTTCATTTTTCTTTGTTTTAATGTCTCCTTTCATTTTGTGGTATTTTGTTAGGTTTATTTGTTGATTGATTTTTCCATAAAACTTATTTTTAGAATTAGTTGATGATGCTGGATACATATCTTCTTTCATAGTAGGTTTCTGTCTATTGCTTGTCAAAATATCTTTTGGAGAACATTCATTCCCTTTGAATTCTTTACCTTTAATATGTTTTTCAGCTTCCTCTGAATGATCAGAATGCCCTAAATCAATAAGATGTTCACTTTTATTGAAATGCCCAATTTTCTCTTGATCTCGTCCCAAAAACGCATATTGAAATTTAGCATATTCTTCTCTTTTATGATTATCTGTAACAATATATTTCTTTTTTTCATACAGTATGCTTATTCCATTGGTGGTATTCTCATTTTCTTTCATTTCTTGATATCTTACCTCCCTTAAATCATTCTTATCATCATCGGAGATTCCTAATCCAATTTTTTTACATCTGTCAATACTTTCAAGTCCATGACAAGTAGATCCAGCTTTTGTATTCTGCTTCATAACTGAGATCCCATCGTTTTTCATGTAGCCTTTCAAAGAAGAATCACTACCATTACCAGTTTCTTGATACTCTGAAAGAGTCTGTGGCCTATCATTAGTGTGTTTAAATGATCTTTCTTCATGCATTCCTTGCTCTTGAGAAGCAAAAGTATTATTACAATTTATTTCCTTTGCTCTGTGCTCTAAATTGGACCGTGTTTTCTGACAAGCAGTGTTGTTGGAGACTTCTGGTAACATGGTATTTTTTGACTCAGAAGTATTCACAGTTTCTTCTGTGGCTGAAATTTCCTCTTCAGGGCGAAAGCCATTTATCATACTTGTTACCTGCTCAGCAACTGAGTCAGTTAAAGCATAGCTGACCTCCCCAACAGCAGTGGTCAAGTCTTCTACAGCACTACTGATTGTGTCCACCAGGGAGGACACTCCCCGCAGATTCTGTTGAAAATTTTTGAAAAATGCCATTTTCTAATTCCTTGTTCCTAAAAGGTACAACAATAGAATTTTCTCTTCTCAAAATATCAGCTACTTTGGAACTTGGATTTAATACTTAAATGTTGCTACTCCTTAGCTCAATTAGTATTTCATACAGTGCCTTTTAATTTTTCTGTAAATTCATAAAGCATTGGTAGAAATATGTTGATGTAAAGACTCTTCAAAAACAAATCAAACCACTTGCTTTAAATGTAATGACATTTTTTTCCTACTCCATAGCTATCACAACAGCAGCAAGATAATATTTTCCCCTCAAACACTATTGGTTTTTATTCTATACCTGAAAGAAGAATATAAAAAGGATTTTTATTATGTACTTTCAGTTTATTTATTAATAGTCTACATAAGGGAAGTACCCTACTAACAAACTACCAACATCATTTCAAATAAAAAATATTATGGGGAAAATACATTAACAATTTTGCACAGAGGTAAGAATGAGAGAGCAGGTGTGGATATCTGTTGAGTGGCACATGCAAAGTATTATAACTTGAAAATTTTATTTTATTTGATTTTATAACAACTCTATCTGATAAATATTCTTCCTATTTAATAAATAAAAGAAAAAACAGGACTCAAAAAAATTAAGAAAGTCCCTGACACCTCAGCTCCTCAAGGTCAAACTTGTTATATTAACAGTAAGGGAATATTTAACTTTTCTACTCTAATTTGCTTACAGGTTCACAGTGGGGTTTTCCAGAGACTATATAACAGATTGAATGTAGAAGCAGATACCAGAATTCAGCTGTCTCCCATTATGCCAGTTATAATAAATTTCTTTGTTTTGCAAGAAAATGTAAAAATTAAAAAAAAAAAATTCTCACTCTTTTTTTCTATACTTTTTTTTTGGTTTTAGAAAATACATAATTTTTTAAAAAATATTAAGAATGTTATTTAAATTACATGCAATAGCCTTGTTAGTTTTTTAATTGACAAAATATATTTTTAAACTTTATAAGTTTTAACTTCTAATATGGCCCACATTAATATATATAACCTACATAAATAAAAGCTCTTCAGGGTCCTTAATAATTTTCATGGGGATAAAGAGGGTTTATTTGACCAAAGAAAAATCAGAAATGCTGAACAAGAGAATGACCAACAGACACTAAAAGAAATATCTTTAACCAATGCATTCATACAAATGATCAAAAAGCAGGACTGAGCTAGGCTTGGGAGTGCTTGCCTGTCACCCGGCAACTTAGCAGGCTGAGGCAGGAGGACTGCAAGTTTAAGGCCAGTCTTAGCAACTTAATGAGGCCCTGTCTTAAAACAAAAGATAAAAAGAGGTAGGAATATAGCTCAGTAGTAAAGCACCCCTGGGTTCATCATCAGTACCAAAAAAAAAAAAAGCAGGAAGTATAAGAAACACTGAAATTAACCAAGTCAAAACCACATGAAGTATGACCATTTCTAACACAAAATTCACAAACTATAATTTAATAATTAATAGACTTTTATAAGTAGAGGTTATCACCACTTTAGTCAAAGTTGAAAAAAAAAAAAAAGCATGTCTCCAACATATGTACACAGACAAGAAAGGCAAGGCTTCTCTGCTATTACTCATCAAAGCTATTACTCATCAAAACTTTTTTTTTTTTTTTTTGGTAATGTGGATTAAAAAACCAGGGGCACTTAACCACTGATCCATATCCCCAGTCCTATTTCATTTTGAGATAGGGTCTTACTAAGTTGCTTAGGGCCTCACTAAGTTTCTGAGGTTGGCCTTGAACATGGGATCCTCCTGCCTCAGCTTCCCCACTCCACTAGCTGGGATTATAGGCGTGCACCACCACGCCAGGCACTCATGGAAACTCTTCTCAATTAATAATTTTATCCTTTATCTTTGGAAATTGAAAATTAAAAAATTCTTCCTTAATAAAGAAGCAAAAGAAAAACCCTGTAAAAAAGCTTTGCAAAAGATAAAGAACAATATCATAAACTGCCTTCCCCAATATGTAAATATTAAGTAATATAATGCCTATAGTGCCAAGGGAGGGAGTGAACACTGCTTTTTATAATCAGAATTTATCTATACATTAAATTAGTAGGAAAAAATCACCTCCTCCAAGCAATAAAATTATCCAGCAGCTGAAAATTATACTGCAGGTAAAGAAAAAGTGTGACTAGTATCAAAAACTTTCTGGGGGTATGGGGAGAAAGGTCTCTGGAAATCTATGTGACAATGTATTTGAGCTATATAAAGTAATCAGATATCTCCTTCTTCTAAAAGCATATATTATAAATGAAAAATAAAAATGTTATTTTGTGATAGTAGACAATTCATCTTATGTAATAACTTAGCAATTCATGGCCAACAGACGATGTCTGAACATAATTTATTAATTTTTCACAAGGAAGAGGTTCAAATATAAGTTTACTATATGTCAAAGCCAATTTTCTTATTGTATGTATTAAAATAAATAAAGAATACAGATAAAAAGAAAAGAAGTAATATGATACTTACACATTTTGTCTTGTGAATTCTTCCTTGTGTTGTATCCTGAACCAAGATCTGGAAACCCGCCAACATTTTCAAAACAGAACTTCTTATTAATATAGAGAAAAAGGAGCAGCATCAAGATAATAAACACCCCAACAGCTGACAAAAATCCAACTGCCTCTGGAGATACTAAGAGAAAAAAAAGTCACAGCTGTAAGCATTTATTTTTCTTTAAGCTACAAATAAAAAGGAAACCCTCATACATAAGTTAGATTAGTGCCTTATTTCAACTATATCTTTAAATCATCATAGTTTAAAATAGTTTATAAGAAAAGCCCGAAGTTTAATGACAGCTGTTAAATACAATCAACAGCACTCATTCAAATTTTCTAAAAGTTTCTCTATAAATTATGATGAAACAATTTTAAAAGAAAAACAAGAGTCTACAAAATAGGCAGTTAGCAAATGTTTAATCCACAGAAGAGTATTACAAAATTTTTAACAAGAATCAATAAAAATTATTTCTTATGTACAAGAATTATCAAATTCTTGAGAACATATTATTATTTAAAGTTCTTGCTTCCTTTTCAATATATACTTTAGTCAAAGGGGATCCACAATATTGCCTTAGAATTGGCAATATTAACTACCACACTCCTTTTTTTGTTTAGCCTCTTCCCCTTGCCTTGAATAGCCAACACTTCTCTTTCCCATATCACATTCATTCACTCAACCAACAAATATTTTTGGAGCATCAGCCATACACCATGCATAGTTATTTACACATCTCTCTGCTTTTCTGGAACAATCTGGTAAAAAACAGTTACAATGCAGCATAATAAAGGTTAAAATTGGAGAAGAATAAAAACCCTGAGAACTACATCCAGTGTTGAAGGACCAAGTAAGCTTTTCTCAAAGTTGTGACCTCCATGATTATATTTTAAGAACCAATAAGAATTAGTTAACATTTCAGGCAAAAGGAAGAACATGTGTGATGTTCTAGAGACAAGAGATCACTGTATATTCCAGAAACAGAATGAAATTGCTCTGATAACTACCAAGATTCTCAAAAGAATTTGGTCAAAAGAATACATGAAACCACTTGGGGAGATTTTGTAGAGTAAGAACAGATAAAACTCTCCTGCAACTTCTCCAACCCCCAGCCATCTCTCTTTCCTTTCAACTTCACTCTAGTCACTACACTGGTCATTTAGAGCCAAATAGGAACTAAATTTTTGAATCTCTAGTACCAAAAAGTATTAGGAAGGAATGTCAAGACCCAAATATCCCCTACAAACCACAACCTACTCCTTCTTTCTCCATCACTCAAAAAGTATTCAACATGTTATCTCCTCCAAGTATTACTAAAAACAGATGTACCATGGCAATCAGCATTTAATTTATTTGTTAATAATGAAGTCACTGACTGGTCAGTGATAAGGGCTTTAATCTCTTAGGGAAGAGGTAATCAGGAATGGTAGAACTGCCAGCTGTTTATCAGGTTGGCACTGAGACACAGGTCATTACTACAACTAAGAAGTTTGACCCAAACATCATCCCTGCCTGCCTTGTTCTCAGCATATTAAGGTATGACATGAAAACAGTGGTGTGCATCAAGCTTGAAGGATGAGGTAAAAAGGAAAACGGATGAATTATCATTAGCATTTCTCATAGTTTCAGAAACAGGACAGAATATGGCATTAAGAGGTAAAAGAATAACTTTGATATTATAATGTAAGCAGCAAATACATATAGGAGTTTTCTTCTTAGCCCAGGCCCAAAATACACTCAGAAATATACTGCCCTTAACTAGCCACACAAGATGAGATATTATGCAGCTTTAAAATCTTGCATCCTTCAAAAACTAAATGACAAAACCTTGCTTATATTAATAAAGCAAGTTACTGCTAGTAAAAATAACAAACACATATAGCATATACTATGTGTTGTTCATCATTTTAAGCACTTTACAAATATTAATTCACTTAATCTTCACAAAGATCCTATTAACATCCCCATTATAAACTGAGATACAGAGATATGAAACCACGTGCCCTGCTAATAAGTGGAGAGTCAGAATTCAAACCCTGTGTGGCTCTGGTGTCTGTTTTCAACTACGACTCATCCTGCCTCTCTTGTTTTTCTTCTCTTGCGTTCTTGTCTTTTCCTATCCCTGACCTGAAACTGCATTTCTGTGTTACTCAACCCGCAAATTTCTGTGTTACTCTGTTTTCCTCCTTCCTGTTTGTTTTTTTAAAAAATTCAACCTAGTGGGAAGAATAAACTGTAAACAAGTAAATATAATATAATATAATATAATATAATATAATATAATATAGTAAGGACTATAATAAAGGTACAAGTATAAATTATTACTGGAACACAAACACCACCATCTGGAAAAGTCACAAAATGACTTAGAAAGGAGATACATTTGATTTAAAAAAAAAAAAAAGACTAATATAAACTCAATAAATAGTAAAAGGACAGATAACAAAGCATAAAAGCAGAAATAATGGAAATGGCAATTCTATAAGCACTAATGAACAACAATCATGACTGTCTTATTTATGTCTGTGTCCTCAACACACCTAGCACAGCATCACATAGCTGACATACAGACATGTAAATAAATGAATAAATGAATTAGTGAATGAGTATTCAGGAAAGATAAAGAATATATTCTAGGAGCTATGACTGAAAATGAAAGCAAGCTCCAAACTGTTTAAGAACCTTGATTATCATCCTAAAGATTTTATACTTAAGGAACAACATGGTTACAGGTTTGCCTTATAAAACCATGTTGATAAAACACTCATAAAACTGGAAAATGATAGGGGGTGAATATGGAAAGGTGTGACCAGTTCTTCAACTAAATGGTAGCAACAGTGGCCAAGAAAAGAAATGAATTCTAGACCTTGTTTAAGGAAAATTGATAATGACCCAATTTAATTAGGATTAGGAAGCAATAAGGATAATTACAGTTCCCAGTTTGAGTGATGGAGTAAATGGTAATGCCACTAACAAACATAAAAAAAATTAGAGAAAAGATATATGGTTTAGGGCATGGGGGAAAGAATGAATTAAAAGAAGAGAGGTAAATTATTAGTTTAGCTTTTAACAAGTTACATTAGAAACATCAACAGAGTATTTCAGAGGAAAATATAAGTATGGTGTCCTGGTTAAGGTCAGCTTAGTTATAAAACATTTGGGATTTTTCCCTTTTGCTCCTCTAATTCCATGTGAAAAACTTTACTCACTAAATAAAGCCAAACCAACAAACGTAGGTAGTGGCCTTTATAAATATTATAAATTTTTAGATTTTTTAAAAAAAAGCTTTTCCCACTAGGAAAAGGAAAATGTACAATAGCCTGTTGTAAATATACTACTCATACAACTCACTCTGAAGCTATCACTTGTCAATTTTCCATTCATATAAAATATGTATTTATGATTTTAAATAGTGATACTGCTATAAACAAACAATTAAATAGCATGTTGAACAGAAAATATTAAAAATCGTCAAATTTCTATTATCATCATTGCTGGGCTAAAATAACATTATTTTAAATAACATAATACCAGAAGATGGCCAGTAATAGTTCTGAGTACAAAAAGATTTGCTAAATCTCACTTCTATTGCATAGGACTACGATAGAAGATACAATAAGATCAAAGATGTGAATGCTGCACATTATCAACAAAAAACTAAATTACAATTAGACCTCACTAATTAAAAAAATACATTTTCATTCATGTAAGATGGAATTTCATTTATTTATTCATAGTTATTTATACTATGAATCTGCTTACAGAGCCATTCTGCATAAGTACTTCTAATATGGTTAATTTATCTATATATAAACCTTTTCAAACCTTTTAGATTATCCAGTGTAGGCAAGTAAATCTATTTGAAAATGCCTCTCACCTCCTAAGAATGGCCTTTTAAATCTCTATTTAAAAAGATGCAGTCAATAACTGGTTTAGGTTAATACACATTTGAAGATTAAATTTGATGAATGTAGTCAATAACTCAAAATTCATTAGTGTACTTTTCCCTCATAATCCAAACTTGCAAAATTTTAATGTGCTCTACAACAAAACCAAGACAAACTATTAACAACTTTTAATAATATCTAACACATAAAGAATGCTTATTTTTTATAGGCAACTGTTATTTTACAAGCATTACCTCATTTAATTCTCACTACAATCCAATTTGATACAGATATCGAAACTGAAAGACTGAGTATAATTTTCAAGATCTTAATATGATTATTCTGTGACAGAATCTGGATTTGAACTTGTCAGGCACACTGAGTCCTGAACTCAAACCGTTAACTGTTAATTTCTTTGTTTCACATTTGCCAGGTACTCTTATACTCTCTTTCATTTTAAAATATAGTGTTCAAAACAATTTTATGATAGATAAGTATCATCTAAGAATTCAGATTAGTAAGTTGAGGTTCAAAGAGTAATTAACTTGTGCAAGGTCACATAGTAGAACACATAGCTATGAACCCAGACATTCTGACTCCAGAGTCCATGATCTCAAACACCAAGCAATATTGCTCCTTAATGCCAACTTGCATATAAAAAATAAGAGATAGCTATGTGACCAAAGTTACATAGCTTACTACATATATTATGAACAAATATTTTACTGCTTAACTTTCACCTAGGTTAAAAGATAGCAACTGATTCGACTTTCTCAAAATAAGTACATAAATTATAACTGAAATAAATTTTTTTATTAAAGATACTTTTCAAAATATTTTAAAATTAATTTTAGAATAACACATAAAAACCCAACATTAATAGTACATTCTTATATTATATGCCACATTTGAAAAGTTAAGAATTTTTAAACTAAAGATATTCTATAGAACAATAAGACTGAGAATCATTAATAATGTTCAATAAAGAATAACTAATATAATTAAACATATGATCCTCTATATGAATTTCTAAAACCATACTATAAATTAAAAGGGGTACAAAGTTATAATATTTCATTAAAAAAATACATAGTTTAGTTTGTCTCAGATTAATGATTATTTATGCCATGCAAATAGAACTGGCTTAGGCAGTTATCTTTACTCTATATTTAGAAATGAATATATACATACTTTAAAAAATCAAACTTTAAAAAGATATC